AACCTATAGGGATGTTGCTTAATTGGAACAGCATTTCCTTGGTCTATATCATGCACAATCAGTTTAGTACTTCCTAGCTTATTTCCACATATCTCTCTCTGTGATTGTAATAATTCTTTCAGGTCATTTTTATTTTCTTCTGGATGGTAACTGAATAACTTACCTCAATTTTGAGAACTTTCTCATTGTCCAATTTAACATGAGAATATTAAATTCAGAATCATCTGTATTTGGTTCTTCACTCTAAGTTGTATCCAGTAACACAATCTCCTTTTGTTTTCCTTCCCTATCAAAATACCTTTTGACCACATTCACATGACATATTCTGTAGGTTTTCTTGCTATCTGGTGCTCGTATCAAATAATTCACTTCACTCAATTCCCGTTCAATTTGATAAAGCCAACTAAACCTTGCCTTTAAAGGTTCCCCTAACACTGGTAGTAACACTAACACTTTATTTCCACTAGCAAAATATGAATTTTTGATTTCTTGTCTGCGTCTTGTTTCATCACGTGCTATAATACTTTTAAATGCTTTCTAGCCAATTCACCCACTCTATTTAATCTCTCCCTAAAATTTGACACATAATCCAAATGTGTAGCCTCTGAACTCTGACTCACCAATTTCTCCTTAATTAATTTCAATGGTCCTCTCATATTATACCCAAAAACTAATTCAAGTGGACTGAATTTAGTTGATTCATTAGGTGTATCCCTAATTGCAAAACATACAAATTGAATTCCTTTATCCAATTCTGTGGATAGTCTGGACTGTAGCCCTCAACATAATCTTCAAAGTTTGATGAACTATTCTAATGCTCCCTGTGATTCTGGATGGGACATAGTAGATTTGAATATCGAAATTCTTAACAAAAAATACATTATTCAACTACTACTCATTAACTGTTTCAATAGAAGCAACATCGCATATGGTAGCACCCCATGCTCAGTGATATCAGCTCCAGGACATGCACAAGTACAGTGGCTTCTGTAGGTTTAGGAGTAGGCTGGGAACAAGGGGAAGGTACAGACTGAAGAGGGAGACAAGGTGGAGGCAGGGGTTGATGTTGGATGCTTCCTATCTCTGATGGTATCTCTGTGGAGTAGGTCTCTGCAGCCACGACTCCTTCATCATGTTCACCCCACTGCTGAGGGTTCTTACTCTGTCCACATAAAGCTTTAGAATGTGGAGGTGGCAAAGAAAAATATAAGTTATGGGGGATGAGGAGCAGGGGGCAGAGGAGATGGGGTCTGGGGGGAGGGAGGACAGGTGCAGTGCCACTCCCCAAGCATGGCTTCCTGGCACTGGGAAGGACAAATGCAGTGGTTGGAGAAGTGTTGGAATGAGCATGGCATCCAAGGAGAGCTATTCAGCAGACACCACTCAGGAGAGGAAGCTGTGCTTTGTGAGCCCAGCCTCCACCCCACCAAGTGAAACATGCTAATATGCTTGGGCATTTTGAGATCAAGAAAGAAGTGGTTTTGGGTCTCTTGAAGAGCACCAAAGTGCATAGGTTCCCAGGGCTCAATGATGTCTACCCCAGGTTATTGAGAGAGGCAAGAGTTGAGATTGCTGGGGCGTTGACCAAGATCTTTGTATCCTTACTCGCCTTTGGAGAGGTCTCGGAGGACTGGCAGGTAGCTAATGTTGTTCCTCTGTTCAAAAGGGAAATAGGGATAATCCAGGAAAGTATTGACCACTGAGTCTCACATTGATGGTTGGGAAGCTAATGGAGAGAATTGTTTGGGACAAGATTTACATACATTTGGCAAAGCTGGCCTAATTAGGGACAGTCAGATGGCTCTGTGCAGGGCAGGTCATGTCCTACTAACTTGATTGATATTTTTGAGGAGGTGACAAGGATGATCGATGAGGATAAAGTGGCGAATGTTGTTTACATGGATTTTAGTCAGGCTTTTGACAAAGTCCGTCATGGTCGGCTCATCCAGATGATTAAGATTCATGGCATCCATGGGTGACTTGGCCATTTGGATTCAGAATTGACTTGCCCAAAGAAGACAGAGGGTAGTGGTGGAAGGATGCTTTTTCGGTTGGAGTTCCATGACCTGGTTGAGATCAGGAACCATCATGAACCAAGCTTATCGAAAAGAGCGCATTTTGTTTCTTTGAATGCAAAATTGTTTGTTTAGAAGATATTATAGTGAAATATCTGACGTGCATAATTCCCAGTTTGTAACTCTGATACCAGATGGTGTCCAGGAAAATTGATTGTTGATTCTGCTTACTGACAACCACAGTATTAAATCACAGGAAAACATTTTTGTTTTTTGCAGAATCATTTTCCCAATTTCCTCATGTCTCTCTTGAAGACTGATTTTTGCTATGGTCCAGTTTCTCACAGTTTTTGCAAAGTTGGAGTTTGGGACCCTTTGCGAGCATCTGGGATGAGAGTGTTGACATACTTAACTAATGCCTACGCTCCTGTCAATACTTTCCAGAAAGAAATTTCAACAGATACAAAAGTTTCTTTCACTGTTAGTTACAGAAAATGCAGCCTTTAGTGCTCCCAGGTGAGACAGCTCAATTTACTACACACTGGGGGAGAAATGCAACAATGGTCACTTACAGGACAAAGGACAGGTAAATAAAACAAAGAACTGTGGGTGCTGGAAATCTGAAACAGACAGAAACCAATAGTCACTGGTCTTGAAATGTAACACTGTTTTCTCTTCACAATTGCTGCCAGACCTGCTGAGTTTCTCAAGCAAATTCTGCTTTTGTTTGTTAAAGGATGGGCAAAAATTAGCTGGGAAAAGTTTAAGGAAGATATGTGTAGAAAGTTCTTTACGCAGATGGTGGTGGGTGCCTGGAACGCGTTGCCAGCGGAGGAGGTAGAGGCGGGCACTATAGCATCATTTAAGATGTATCTAGACAGATATATGAATGGGCAGGGAGCAGAGGGATACGGATCCTTGGAAAATAGGCGACAGGTTTAGATAAAGGATCTGGATCAGTGCAGGCTTGGAGAGCCAAAGGGCCTGTTTCTGTGCTGTAATTTTCTTTGTTCTTTGATCTGTCTGTCCTATTCAGTCTGCATGTTCTCTGACAACCCATGACAACACTCTTCAGGAACCTCATGACTAGAAAATCCCTCTCCAATCCTAAAGTTATTCAAGCAAATTTAAGGAGTCTATATTTTCTGGTGCAAACACCCTCCAATACACAACTCCATGGTATGGACATGCAGTCTTGTGGTGCTGTGATTTAGCCGCAACTCCTGAGACAGGAGGCCAGGGTTCAACTTACACTTACTCCAGATGTGTGTCATAATTTCTCTGAACAGATTACATTGAAACATAGAAACGCAGAAGATAGGAGCAGGAGGAGGCCATCAGCCCTTTGAGCCTGCTCCGGCATTCATCCCAATCATGGCTGATCATCCAACTCAATAGCCTAATCCTGCTTTCTCCCCATAACCTCTGATCCCATTCGCCCCAAGTGCTATATCTAGCCGCCTCTTGAATACATTCAATGTTTTGGCATCAACTATTTCCTGTGGTAATGAATTCCACAGGCTCACCACTCTTTGGGTGAAGAAGTCTCTATGAGATCCCCCATCATTCGTCTGAACTCCAGCGAAAACAATTCCAACCTAGTCAATCTCTCCTCATCCTCAGAATCAGCCTGGTAAACCTTCGCTGCACTCCCTCGAGAGCAAGAGCATCTTTCCTCAGAAAAGGAGACAAAAACTGCACACAATATTCTAGATGTGGCCTCACCAAGGCCTTGTATAACTGCAATAACACATCCCTGATCCTGTACCCGAAACCTCTCGTAATGAAGGCCAACATACCATTTGCCTTCTTTACCACCTGCTGCACCTGCATGTTGACCCTCAGCAACTGGTGCACAAGGACACACAGGCCCCGCCCGCTGCACATTCCCCTTTGCCAATTTGCAGCCATTCTACACCGTGTGTAGTTATTTTAACCACTTAAACTCATACTTTAATTAACTGGGCAATGCCTCACCATGATCCTCAATCCAATTCTGAACGTGTCAAAACCCAGAAACCGGAAACCAGTCTCAGAAGAATAACATCTTCAAACCTTTTAAACAAACAGACTGCATAAACACACTTGTAATTCCCAAAACTTAGGTATTTAACACCAAACTAAAACTTCGGGTAAAACGTTTGCTGTAACGTGATAAATTTCAATTTAAAAATATTTTGAGTTCTGAGGAAGGGTCACCGGACCCGAAACGTTAACTCTGTTTTTCCTTCACAGATTGCTGCCAGACCTGCTGAGCTTTTCCAGCAACTTTGCTTTTGTTCCTCATTTACAGCATCCGCAGTTCTTTCGGTTTTTAAAAATATTTAGTATTGATCTTGGCTCAGTTGGTAGATCTCGCTGCTCTTGGACGTGACGGAAAGTTGTCGGTTCGACTATATTCCAAAAACTCAGAATATATAGTGTAGCTGACACTGAGCGCCGTATCGTTGCAGGCGCTATCTTTTGATTGAAATGTTAAATTCTGCCATTAACCACATAATTTGAGGAAGAGCAGGGGCCGTGGGAGTTGATGCTTGCAAATTATACTGTTTTGTACACTATAACAAGTCACTACGCTTTCAAAGTACATCACGGGTTTTGAAGTGCACCCTGAGGTTGTGAATGGGGCTATATAAATGCAAGTCTTACAATAAGAACACACGTTTGGGGGCAGCCGTGATGCCTGAGGTAGCGGGCAGATTCACACGTGAAGAATGGTTCATAAACTTCTACCTTACCGGGGGCAAATGTCGCCAAGAGCAGACATGTTCAAAAAAATTGAAAGCAGACGACTTACAACTGTGTGAAAAACAACACTCATCCTGGGCTATGGCCCCAGGCGCAGCTCATTTTAAAGGAGGATGGGGTGGGGGTGTCAGCGGGGAAGGGTACAGGAATGATTATTGGTTGTTTGCCACGTCGATCACAGTGTCTGAGCTCGCCTTTCCGCCGGGCTCGAGCGAGAGGGTGGGGGCGGCGCTTTGTTCGTCCTGTGAGGAGCATGGGTGTGAGGTGTGGCGCGAGCGACCGCGAACCGTCGATGGTAACGGTGACCGGTAGCGCGCGTTAGCCCGGAGTGGAGTGGGCTAGGGCGGGAGGTAGTCTGCCTGGTTTTGGCTGTCATTGTTTCCGGCGTGGATGAGCCGCCTTTGCTGTTGTTGTTTGTCCGATCCCTTGCGATGAAAATGGTGGAGCCGGTGGGATTCGTGGAAGCCTGGAAGGCTCAGTTCCCCGACTCTGAGCCGCCCAAGATGGAGCTGAAGAGCGTCGGCGACATTGAGCAAGAGCTAGAGAGCTGTAAATGCAGCATTCGGAAACTGGAGCTGGAGGTAAACAAGGAGCGGTTTCGCATGATTTACCTCCAGACGCTGCTGGCCAAAGAGAAGAAGAGCTATGACAAGCAAAGATGGGGTTTCAGAAAGTCCACGGTCCTAATGGAACAAGACGATGAGATGCCTCAGGACTCTTTGCATCATCATCCTCCCGCCAGGGAAGGGGAAGAAACTATGTATCACCCCGGAGAGGACAATTCAAAGAGGCAGACCGAAGGCGTTGAAGGGATGATGGACACCAGGGGTGAGATAGAAAGCTCACCAACCAGGCAGAGGTCATCCTTAACGAGGAGGGCGGTAGCAACGCCAGAGAGGGACGCGGGGCGAGGTTTCAGCCAAGATTGTGAACAGATTGAGAAAAAAGATAAAGCTGGAGCTGGCACAAGTGTGGCTGCATTGAGGTCCAATTTCGAGAAAATTAAGAGAACCAATTCACACTCTGGGGATGGCAAAGGTGTGGACAAACCTCTGTATGTCAATGTAGAGTACCACCATGAGAAAGGATTGGTGAAAGTCAATGACAAGGAGGTATCTGACAAGATCAGTACAATTGGGAGTCAGGCCATGCAGATGGAGCGGAAGAGGTCATTGCACTCTTTCCCTAGTACTGTGGGATCAGTGGACTACCGCAAACACACATACAGAGGTAGGTCAACAGACAGCAGCTCTGGGTATGACCCGGAGTATGATGACATAGATCTGAATCCTAGATTCTTGAAGGATAATCTCATCCGTGCCACTGCCAATGGAAGCAAACCTGACAAGGAACCTTGGCAGCAAGAATTTCAGCCATATGAAAGTGTTTATATTGGTGGAATGATACAAGATAGTAATAGTAAACCCAGTGTTGGCTTGAGAGACTGTGGAAAACTTCAGAGCACTACAGATCATGAGAAACATCTAACATGGCCTCGGAGGTCCTATTCGCCTGGTGCTGATGATGTTGGTGGAGGATATACTCCAGACTGCAGTTCGAATGAAAATTTAACTTCAAGTGAAGACGATTTTTCTTCTGGCCAGTCGAGTCATGTTTCTCCCAGCCCCACCACCTATCATACTTTTCGGGAAAAAAGCCGGTCTCCCTCTCAAAACTCACAACAATCTTTTGATAGTAGCAGTCCACCCACCCCACAGTCACAAAAGAGGCACAAACACCAAGTTACTGTACAGGAAGCAATGGTAGTTGGTCTCAGGAAGCCGGGACAAATTTGGGCAACTGAAGCTGATCTTGCCCACAGGAGTACTGAAGAGGACAGTTTCCATGGAGACCCAGGTAATCATTTTTTTAACTGTTGTTTTTTGAGGAATTTGAGAGTAGAGGTAATAAACACAAACTGTTGAGGATGAGCCACAGATTATTGTTTTTTTTAGACTACTGGTAGTATTTAGTATATTGCAGGTTCACTTTGCAGTTATTGTTTTTCTAACCGTGTTCAATTTTGTGTGGAGAATGAGTCTAATTAGACTCAATGTTAACGCTGTTTCTCTCTCCACAGATACTGCCATACTCCGCTGAGTTTCTCCAAAATTTTCAGTTTTTAATTTCAAATTTTCAGCATCAGCAATATTTTGCTTTTAGTGCAGGTTTATTGATGTAAGTCTTTTTAACTATTTCAATTTTGCATCAGTCTTGAAGCCAAAGCAAGGCATGAAGAATTATGGACAGTAATAATGTAAATGCATACATTACAAATATTTTGTATAACAGAATCGTTAAGATTAGTGTCTGATCTGTTTGTAAAGGAAAATTGAAGTCCAAATATTCAGTTATAGCTTTGTAGATTAGCATGAACTAATGGACTTTTGAGGTAATAATCATTGAATTCAAGTCTTGCTAATGATGTGTTGGAAATAAATATCAAGCAAAATGTAATTTTAGATATTCTCAAATACATATTAATGGAAGAAAGTTTTATAACTGCCTAATTCAAGGAGCAGATGTGATTGTGCAACTTTCCCTGAAGATCATTAGTTATCTTTTCCACAATGTGTTTGTCAATTATGAAGGCACTGATTTCCAAAGGATTGCAATTGCTATGCCTGCTTTGGAAATGCGTGTGCAGGAAGCTGTCATTTCTGCTACAGTGTAAATGTTTACAAATTGAGTTGGCAGTATGAGGTAGCGTTAAGGGTATGTTTTTGAGCCTTTCAACCAGGGTGTGGTCTTTCTCAAGTTTTATAAACCCAGAACATTGACATTCTTCCTTCCTTATCCTAAAAAGTGTTTGAATTATATTTTCATTAATAACAATGTGATAGATCTTAAATGTAATTTTATTTTACACTGCACATTTTCATGAACACCATAATTACCACTACAGGGATTATTGATTCTAAATATTTTGTTTATTTCTAGTCTTGGCTAAATTATATTTATCTATTTCACATAATGGCAGTTAATTTTCATTCAACAGTGCTTTTTACTGGTAACCAAAATTACATTCATCAGAGGAAGTAGTTATACTTTAGTCTGCCACACAAAGGTTGTGCTTCAACGTGTCTCATGGATGCATATGTGAAACAATATTTTTAAAAAAACAACTTGTATTTAATTTATACAGTGCACTTAATATAACAAACCTTAATAAGCATAGCATTTTGCAGAAATATTACAAAGCAAAATTTGACGTGAAACTACGTAATGTGGTGGTGTCTGAAGAATCTTGGCTAAAGAACTAGGTCATTAGTAGTGTCTTAAAAGAAGATGGAGAAGTTGATGTAAGGGATTCCACAGCTTAGGGTCTTCACAGCTGTAAGCATGGCCACCATTGGTGGAAAAATTAAGATCTGGGATGCTCCATTAAGAGGCCAGAATTAGGACACATCTTAGAAAATTGTGGGGTTGGAAGACATTACAAGAGTCTGAATAGAAATTCAAAATCAAAGTTGAGAATTTTTCAAGACAGGTTAGGAGCATGGTTAATGGGTGAAAAGGTTTTTTGGAGCAAGTAGGAACCCAGGCCAGCAGTGTTTTGTCTAGGATTGGAGGCTATACTCTCAGAGTAGGGATCACCAACTTGATACAGATGATGAATTTTACCTCTGTTTGATGGAGGCTAGAATGGGGGAGGCCAGCCAAAACTGCATTGCAGTGGTCAGGTCAAAGATAACACAAGCATGAATAAGGATTTCAGCAAATGTGTTGAGGCAAAACCAAATGAATTGTAAATTTTATAGAGGTGATAAAGGGCAGTCTTAGTGATTATGTAAGTTTGAGGGTTGAGCTCTTTTGGCGTAATTTATGACAACAAAGTTTCAAACAGTCTAGACTGACAGAGAGGGGACTGGAGTTTGTAGCTGGGGACATAGTCCAGAGACACTGGCTTTGTTGTTCCAATGTTTAACTGGAGGAAATTTTTGCACATATTGTCCTGATGTCTGTTAAGCAGTCTGATAATTTAGCAATAATGGAGAATTTGAGAAGGATGGTGCTGAGGTAAAATGGAGTGTTGTAAGTGTACCTGTAAAAACACATGCTGTGCAATTGAGTTGGCCAAGAACAGCATGTAGATAAAATATAGGAGATGACCATTCTATATTCTTGGGGAGTATCTGAGGTGTTGGTGCATGGGCAGAAAGAGAAACCATTGCAAATAAAGCACCGTTACAATTGGATAAGAATGCGGAACATGGTGAGGTAATCCCAACCAAGTGTATGATAATGATGATACATTAGATGAGAGTGGGGTAGTCAAGGGTGCAGACAGGTTGAGATAGATGACGTGGAATAGTTTACCTTTGTGACAGTCACATTTGTAATTTTGATAAGAGCTGTTTTTGAATGTAGTGGGGTCGAAACTTGTTCGGAGAAATTTGTGCGCAAAGTTCTTTAAGACCATAAGATGTAGGAGTATAAATAGACCAGTTGACCCCTCAAGTCTGCTGTAACATTCAGTGAGATCATGGCTGATCTGATAATTCTCAACTCCACCTTCTTGCCTTGTCCCCACAATCCTTGATTCCCTTCCTGATTAAAACTCTGTCTATTTCAGCTTTGAATATACATAACAATTCTGCCTCGAAAGTGCTCCACGGTAAAAAAATTTACGCATTGACTATCCTGTGAGTGAATAAAATTCATCATCTGTATCAAGTTGGTGATCCCTACTCTGAGATTATAGCCTCCGATCCTAGACTTTCCCAAAAGCAAAAGCAACTTCTCCATATCCATGCTGAAGCCTGCTAAGAATTTTGTGTGTTTCAGTAAGGTTGCCTTTCATTCTTCTAAACTCCAGAGAGTACAAGCCCAACCTACCCGTAAGAAAATTCCTCCCTACCTTGAATCACCTCGTGAACCTTCTCTGGATTTTTCTGGACTTCATAGTTTTGCAGGTGTGGTCTGACTAGGGTTTCCTATTGTTTTAGCAAGACTTTCCTATTATTATACTCCATTCCCTTTGAAGTAAACTCCAGTTGTCCATTTGCTTCCCCTATTACCTGCTGCGCTTATATGTTAGCATTTTTGTGATTTATGGATGAGGACTCCAAAATCCCTCTGCTGCAGCTTTCTACAGTTTTTCTCCATTTCCATAATATTCAGTTCTTCTATTCCTGCATGCCAAAGTGTAAGATCTCACGTTTTTCCACATTTTATTCCAACTACAAAATTTTTGCCCACTTACTTAACATCTTTACATCCCTCCAAAGATAATGTTTTATCCTCACCACTTGACTTCCCACCTATTTTTGTGCTATCTGCAAACTTGGATATAGTATGTTCAGAGATAGTAGGAATTACAGATGCTGGAGAATCTGAGATAACAAGGTGTAGAGCTGGATGAACACAGCAGGCCAAGCAGCATCAGAGGAGCAGGAAAGCTGACGTTTCGGGTCTAGACCCTTCTTCAGAAAAAGTATGTTCACTTGTGTCATCCACCACATTAATATATTTTGTAAATAATTGTGGTCCCAACACTGAACTTTGTAAAGACCACACTAATTAGAGGTTGTGTTCTGAAAATGCTCCCAGTCCCAACTCTGTTTTCCATTGGTTAGCCAATCATCTATGCGTTAAATAAAAACCGAAAGAACTGCAGATGCTGTAAATCAGGAACAAAAACAAAGTTGCTGGAAAAGCTCAGCAGGTCTGGCAGCATTTGTGATGGAAAAAAACAGAGTTAACGTTTCAGGTCTGGTGACCCTTTCTCAGAAGGGTCATCGGACCCGAAACGTTAACTCTGTTTTTTCCTTCACAAATGCTGCCAGACCTGCTGAGCTTTTCAGCAACTTTGGTTTTGTATCTGTTAAATAAGCTGCCTCCAACACCACTGGCTCATAGCTATCTAGCCTAATGTGTGGTACCATATGAAACATCTTCTGGAAATTCAAATATTTTACATCTGCTGTTCCCCTTTAACTATCCTGCTTGTTAGTCTCCTCAAAGAATTTGAATAAATTTGTCAGACATGATTTCCCCTTTATGAAGCCATGCTGCCTTTGCATGGCTTTATGTATTTCTAAATGCATTGCTATTACTTCCTTTATAATAGACTCTGACCCATGTTGAGCTAACTGGTCTATGGTTACTTTTTTTTTGTCTCACTTTTTTGAATAAGGGTGTTACATTGGCAGTTCTCCAATCCTTTGAGATGTTTCCCTTATCCAATGATTCTTGGAAGATAATGGAGTCAAATGGGATCAGATTTAGAAGGTGGGGGGAGTGGAACAACCTATTCCAGGATTTTGGTGCGGAAAGGAAGTGTGGTGTGATAGCTTTAAATGGGTTGTTAACTGCCATCTGTGGGACAGGGGTATGCAAGTTGATCAAATATTCTGGTTGATCAAGTGGTCTACATAATGTAAATACACACACTGAGTAATAGAAACGTAATGCAGGGTGTATAGACATCACTGCTGTACATCATTTACAGCACAAATTACTTAAATAATCATGCAACTTTGCCTTAAATAAAACTTGCTGGCAGAGAGCCTTCTTACTCACACCAATCTTGGTCATTTGGCAGCTGTTTTTGTAATGGCAATTAGATCATGAGAGTAAATTCTTGAGGTAGCCTGTTCTTTTAATGCTATGTTTCTGAACTGACAATTGAGAGGCCTAAGTATTAGGCAAAAATTGTCAGTTCAAATAGTTTTTGAATTTAAATTCAGTATTAAATATAAACTAACTAAATTAAAGTAACTTTATAGTCTAGATTATGGTTACCATGACAGAAATCCACTTCATAGAAATGCTACGGCATAGGAAGAGCCTTTCGCCGGGTTGTGTCTACACTAGATCTCCAAATGAGCATTCAATTAAGTGCCATTCTCCTG